ATAAAAATGTAAGTACATTGTACGGTCATTAGAATAGTAGTTTAGATAAATAAAGACAAGATTGCTTAAAAAAAAAAATAATAAATAAAACAATAGTATAGTAGAATAACAGTTTTTATAAAAGCAATTATCTGTTTTAAAAAACTCCTTTATTGTCCAAAGGATACTACAGGGTAGAGCAATAGTACACCTGATATCTGTAAGTTAACAAATTCTGAAACCTAACTGGCTAGATCAGGTGTAATGTAAAAGATTTTTAAAAAAATAACTGAAACTAATATTTATTGACTAGATCAGACATAATATAAAAAACAAACTGACAAGTTTATTATTATAGTCAAATTTATCACCTGATGCTTATTGGTTAGATTAGCTATAATGTATAAAAAAAAAAAAAGAAGCTGATTTCTGCAAAAACAAATGATTTAAATATTGATTATAAATTTTAGTCTTATCTGAACTCAAAGTTGTATAGTAGTGTTACAAGCTGGCTGGGGCAAGGCAGCTTAGCTGGCTAAGCCAGCCAATGTAATGTGATCGGCTGGCTAATGCAGCTTAAGGTCACATGATTTTGGGTAGTATAATTTAGGCTAGAATGATAATGTCAGCCAGAATTAAATAACAAAAAGCAAAGATCTGAAAATTTCTGAAAAAAAAAAGAACTAACATCAAAGATGAGCAAGGTTGAGAAAACAAATTGGAGTAATTTCTGATATCTTCCAAAGTAAAAATTTGGGCTTACCTTAGCTATTGGCTAGCTGCTAAGCTAAATTTTTTATCAGCTGGCTTAGCCAGCCGATAAAAACCTTACAGCTTGTAACACTATTGTATAGTGCCCTACTTATACAAAATCACTAGGTAAATGAAAACCATTTAAGGGTAGGGTATTTGTATTATGTTATACAAGCATAATTTAGTGCAAATCATCAGATTTTAGCTTTTTCAAAGAATAGTATGAAACTCGTAATCTTTAACGATATTAACTAATAGTCTAACATTATTATAAAAAATGAAATTTTCGATAATTCAATAGTATGTGCATCTTAGCAACATATTATTTCTCGCTAAGAACCAATTTGTAACAAAGGTTTGCTTAAAATAAATAGAAATTGCTTTGCGCATAGGATTCTAAAAATGTGCATGTCAAGTAAACTTTACTAAAATATGTATTTTTTGAAAAAAATTTAACAGAATATTATTTATACAACTTGTTTATGAATAGTTGTATGGTCAAAAGCTATGGTAATAGCAATTTTTTGTAAGCTTGCAATAAGCTCTTTGTTTAGAGAAGTATTATTGATAATCTATTTATAAATCACTAATAAAAATGATTTTTAGAGTTTTTTTAATAAAAATTGGACGAACCAACTTGTAAAACAAAATAACTTCCGGGTTAAAATTTCTCATAGTAATCATTCTATTTTTGTCTGGGATACTGCACAACTATCTATCTTACCTAATTATAAACTTATCAAAGAAGTATATCAAGATCATAATCCCATTTATGTTAAATTACAAGTACCTAAAATTATTGCTGATATTAATGAACAAAGTTTAGTTCCTTTAATTCCAGGCTACCTTATTTTTATGTTTTTTGGAGGTGTTTATTGTTCTGTAAAATTAGGGTGGAATTCTGTTAAACAGACTATTTTATATAAATGGACTTAATTTGATTATGATTCATCTTTTACAAATATAATACAATCATTGGTGTTTGAAAGCCAAAGTTCTCTTTCATGTTATATTAAAAATGCTTTAAAATATAAAGGTGAAGTATCATTACTATGGTTACTTGGCTTTACTAGTACTAAAAATGTTCAATAGCTACGTAGATATATTGGAAACTATTTTAAAAACATTTTTAATATGGAAAAGCAATTTTATCAAGAAGAAAAAGAGATAACACATTTAATAAATCTAGGAAAACAAGTAGCTAATTCTAATAATTATGATCAAAGTTTTAAAAAAAGGGCAACTCAGTTAAAAAATGAAAATTGAGAAAGTATGCAACAAATCATTTATGGTTTGGGACAAAAATTAAAAAGTACCAATTCCGAATTACAAAATACATGCAAAAAATTATACCGATCACAGAAAAAAGCTTTAACCTTACAAGAACTATTAGAAAAAGAATCAGATTAATCAAGGTACACTATAGTTTAAATATATATTTATTAAATAAAATACAGTAAATTTACTTAATTAATTTTTTAGTGAAAATGAAGACGAAAATAACTCTAATAGTGACGATGAAATTCAAGAACCTAGAACAAAAGACCAAGAATTTCAAGAATTAATACAATCTCTTATTTCCAAAGGAAGATTGGGTTCAAGTCTTTTTATAAGCACTGAATTGTTTCTTACCTATATATTAAATCAAAAATGTTCCACCTGTCAAAATGGCAATATAAAAAAAAAAAATCACAAAATAAAAGTTATAGGATTATCAGTAAAAATTATAGTTACCTGTTATCAATGTCAAACTAAAACTTTTTATGGAAATGAAAAATTTGGAATCAAATTTTCAGACTTAGTAGCAGCCGCAGGATTAGCTAGTAGTGTTAATTGTGAAGAGTGGTCAACAATGCTGTGTTTGTATGGAATAACACGTCAAAATGGAAAAGCACAATATTTTCAGAAACAAGAAAAATTTTTTAATGGAATAAAAACTGCTGCAGAAGAGAGTACAAACAATGCATTACATGCAGCTTGCGAAGAGGTTGTTGCAAATAAAAAAGAAATCTTGGAAGTAGAATTTGATTGTTCATGGAGTAAAGTTAGAGAAGCTCCTCAAGCAAGTGCCGAATTCATATATAATGGAACACCAGAAGGTAATAATATTGATATTAAATTTTAAAATGAAAATAAAAAACTAATTAAATTATATTAGGATTTGACACAAACCTATCATCGCATTTAATGTAGTAGAAAAGCCTCGCATTTATAATAAAAATGAAAAGAAAATAATAATTAATAAAGGAAATAATGATAATAGTAGCTGACAAATAGAGCATGCAAATCTTGTTAAAAATATTAGCAAAATTACGTCTACCCTTTATGAATATAATATTACATTAGATATTGGTGTTGATGGTGATTTGAGTACTAACAAAATATTGTGTGAAGAAAAAACAGTTTATAAAATCTTTGCAGATCTAAAGCATAAATCAAAAATCCTAAAAAATAAAATAGGTAAAATTAATTTTATAAAATATAAAATATGCTTAATAAAAAAATTAATTTATTATAATCTTAGTCAATCAAGTAAGATGGAAACGATTTGAGCAACCAATAATGAATTTTTATACCAAAAGCGTTTACGCTGCTGTTGCACAAATGCAAAATCCTGATATTATATCACCAACCAACAATGATCTATATATAATGCAGAGCGAAATATGTGTAAACCATTTTCTTGATAACCACAATAATTGCTGGCCTGAAGTTTGTTGGAAAGTTCAAAATCCTGATCTTTTTTTAGCAGATCCTAATTTAATTGAATATACTGAAAGTCAAGCAAATGCTCTTAAAGAATTTTTAGAAAAACATACTAAACTTCCACAAAAACAAAGTTTAATAACAACTATACGAACCAGTATGAATAAAGCATTCAACCGTGTTAAATTAAACTATGCTAATAAAAAGGTTGATTATGCAAAGTCTTTTTCTGCTCAGCACGGGCTTGCAGTTTTACACAATAATAATGGTTTTTTAGAAATGCTAGAAATTGTTAGATGGGCAGAGAATCTTTTGAAATTTTCTGAAGAAGATCAAATCAATATTGGAAAAATCTAAAAACAAAGAGAAGACAAACGTAAATGTAATGTTGCAGAAATTAATAAAAAAAATGTTTTATGATCTAAAAAAATTGAAGAAACACGAAAACAATTAGAAGAATTTGATTTTTCGAAAGTACAATTAAAGCATGCATCAGCGAAATATATTAACGTAAACTTACGCAAGTTATTACACCCCGAAATATTGTGCAATAATTACAGTCTAGGCATAATATTGTGCAAAAAATTGCGAAATATTACGCAATACATCAGCAAATTTTATATATAAATATATATCGATTACTAACCAAGTGGATATATATCGATTACTAGAACCCCTGCCGATTTTTATCGATAGTGATTATA